TCCTCGGATTCCCAGCTCTCTCCTGGTTTCTGTTGCGTGGTTGGTAGTAGTTTAAGCAGCAGAGCAACATTGCTTACTGTGCCCACGGGTGCATGTACTTTGTAAGTAAGTATACCTCACTCACTCAAGGCAGAAACATTCATCTACTGCATGGGGTTTCATTAATGATTTTGTTTATGCTGTTACTTTTTTTGGACCTTTTGTGGTACGTTTCCCCTTGTTGTCTTAAGAATTTACTTTTTTTCCCTGTGACATCCATCGTCAGCCTCTCCTCTCTGCGATTCGCATTCATGCTCTCGCAAGGCGTTTTGCCTGCAGCCTCAGGAATTGCAATACGGACGGATGATCGGATGACGGAATCTCGGCAGATATCCACTCTCTCCGATTCAAGCGCTTTCCCATTCATACGTTAGGTCTCCTCATTCATAGTCTGATTCTCCTTTCAGAGTCAGCCATTGAAGTCCACCCCTCTCTCTTCTCCGGTTCGGCCAACCATGGACGGGACTCGATCCGTTTCCTTGGTCGGTCATGTTTCCGACTGACTTGTCTACCTCACCATTTAATATATAGTCTGCTTGGGTCCGTCTACACGGTCCCTCTTCGAAGTTAGTAGTGATAGTAGTACGTAGTTTGAAAAAAGCGCACTCTCCCCTTTCTGGCCCAGTCAAAACCTGCGCGATTACGACCTTAGTCCACAACCGGAAAGTCTGTGACAAAAGGAGAGGCACCGGAGCCATGACAGGTGGATTGGCATCTCCGATCCAGGGGCTATCGGACTCCGCCATGCTTACCACAAACTCACACAACATACCTTGAATTGCTGCTGGCACGTCGCACTGGAATCCAGCCAAGCGAGAAAACCTGCCGACAATTTCCACTGCAGAGAAAACCGACAGCTCGCCATCGTTAATCAGTACCAATCGATGGATAGATCAGTACGCCATGCTTGCCCTGTCCCCTCTCATTGGACTGGCGAGTAACAAACAAGGGAAAAATATCTACTAGTCGTCCTGCCAGAGAGGCAACTTATTGGGAAGATCTAAGCTACTAGACCTAAAAGAGGGGAGGAGAGAGGGAGGGAGAAGCTAAGAATAGTAGCCACCACCACCGGTCCTTCGTGGTACCTACTTTTATTTTTTTATTTTTTATTTTTATTTTTTTTTTTTTACTTTTTTTCAAATCTGTCTGCTAGTATCTACTCCGTAATTACTCACTACTCTATCTTTTTCTTCCTTTTCATTTCTATGCGATTCTTTCCCTTGCTTGGCTTGCCTGCTTTAGTAGAGGCGCTAACCAGCGGCGCTACTGTACGGGGAAAACTCAGAAGAGAGATGCTTCATCTCTAGCGCTGTGCCTGCATTACCCGACATGGAAATAGAAGTTACGCACTCGGACATACGTAAGTAACTGCGTCCTGGAAGTGATGCCTAGGTTGACGTTGTCCGATCGGGTCTTTGACCCCGTAGTCCGTTTCGTTTGATCCGGGTGAGCCATGGGTGTTTTACTTTGGGGAATGGACGTGTCATCCTTATTGATCTGGGCCTTGGGACCTCAGGCAGCACATTTATGCATAGTACCCCGTCTGTATTCCCGGAGCGCCCGCCTCACGCATCTTTTGCATAACTCCCGAGCAGCCAACCCCTTTCGGGCCACTATGTACTACTAATTACTGTGGTCACGGCTTCTCAACTCCAACCAACCGTTCCCAATAGCTAAATATTGCATAATGGATAATCATAAATAGATAATCAATAATATAAAATGTTATATTTCGTACAGACTATGGATAATATACACCTCTGAAATTGCTCCATCTAATCTCCAAAACTAGCCCGTTTCTTTTCATCTTCCTCTTTCCTCCTGACGGGGAGTGACCGAGCGCCCTGAAGATGCCGCACCGGCATCGGGCGGTGCGAAGACAGGATCTGCCCCGCGCCCTGAACAAATACCCCGTGACTTGGTCCCGTCGGCTACGGAACTTCCGTTGCTCCCCCCTTTAGACTGCTTCCAGAAGCCAAAGACACACCCAAGTCATGGATGAATGCCCCTCCTGATCCGCTTACTTACGCGATGCTTTTCTCTTGACTAACGAGTCATCATTGACTTACTAATTCTGTGACTGGATAGAGATACTATACTACCCCAATTAAGTCCACTAACTTCTTTAGTGAATGCCAAGGACTGTTCTGGGAAAGTAGAGTCGTTCATCATCCAGAGTCACTCTGTCGTTATCAATTTATATAGCGACGGAAGACAAACCACATCAACTACCTGATACAACACATAATATATAACTTGCTGTTATACATGCCAGGCCCCGCATATTGGAGCTTCTGACGACTAGCATTACTCATCACCCAAATCAACCCCAAGTCACCGATCTAATCACCTTTCAAAGAAATTCTATCTACTACTACTTTTTTTTTTTTTTACTTGGACCTGTCACGCAACCAACCAACCAACATCATGGACGTTGAGCAGGTCGATCTTTCCCGTGGTTGGCCCAACCCCGCCTTGCTGCCCACGACGGCCTTGGCTGAGGCCTCTGCGAAAGTGTTGGCCACTCCGGCCATTTGGACACCGGCCTTGATGTATGGCCCTGATGAAGGGTACCAGCCGTTGCGCGAACACATCGCTCGCTGGCTAACGACGTTCTACCAGCCACGCGACCGCATCACTCCCGAACGCATTTGCATCACGGGTGGCGCCAGTCAGAATGTAGCCTGTATTCTGCAGGTCTTTACTGATCCTGTCTACACACGCAATGTTTGGATGGTCGCACCCGCCTATCATCTATCCTTTCGCATCTTCGATGATTCCGGGTTCACTGGTCGCCTGAGGGCCATTCCCCATAGTGATGCGGGGTTGGATCTGGCCTATCTCCGACAGGAGCTGCTTATTGCCGAGGAGCGGGCAAGGGGGGAAAATAATAACGCAGCGGTACGTTGGTTTGCTTTGGTCTGCAGATGGACGTTTACGTCCTGCCTTTGAGGTTTCAAGGGGACTGAAGTGACTCATATGACTGACTCCTACAGAACTACAAACCGACTAGGCCATGGGGTAAAGTCTACAAGCATGTCATCTATGCTACCCCCACCTTCTCCAACCCGTCAACGCTCACCATGTCCTTGCCTGATCGGGAGAATCTGGTTCGTCTTGCGCGAGAATTTGACGCCTTGATCATCGCCGATGATGTCTATGACTTCCTTCAGTGGTCACCAGACCCAGCCAAGACATTACCGCAGCCCAACAGGGCGCACCTACCCCGTCTGGTGGATGTGGACCGGTATCTGGATGGGGGACCCGGGGATGACTGGGGTAATGTGGTGAGCAATGGAAGTTTCAGCAAGCTGATCGGACCCGGAATGCGGACAGGTTGGGCGGAGGCTACCGAGAAGGTAGCGTATGGTCTGTCACAAGCGTGGGTAATCCCGTGAGGTGGTCTTGCTGGCTGCTCTCGCTTGTCCCTTGCTTTACCCTCCCCTACCTGGTAGGCTAACTTTTCCCTGGACAGAGGCTCAAGTCGATCCGGAGGCGCACCGTCGCATATGTGCGCCGCCATCATTGCGCAGCTGTTCCCCACGGGGATTGTACAAAACTTCATTGGCGATGTTCTGCAACCGGCGTACGCCCGCCGCTACCACCGGATGATGTTTTCCATACGTGAGCATCTTGTTCCCCTCGGCGTGAGGCTCCCTCCCGTTCCTGATGTGGCAGGGGGGTACTTTATTTGGCTCCGGCTCCCACCTCCATTACGGTCGAGCGAGCTTGTACCCTTCGCACTGCGCGAACAGAATTTGATCGTAGCATCTGGTAATGTCTTTCGGATAGATGGAGATGCGGCAGGAGACAAGAATGATTTTGACGACGGCATGCGCCTCTGTTTCGCGTGGGAGCGGGAGGATAAACTCGAAGAGGGGGTGCGTCGACTTGCATCGGTCATTCGTGAAGCTCTCGAGTAAACCCAATGCTGGCGGCCGCTGCGATGATGGCTACCAAGGGTGGACGGGCGGATCGGACCGCCTAGGACCTTGGTCTGGAAGAACCTGTAGTATGTTGTTGATATGGACGAACCACACACCCCATTACAGGATAGTCATTCAGAGCCGAAAGGTTCAAAGCTCGTCACGCCCCAGATTATCTCTCCTTGGCGCAAGATGAGAAAGAATGGCTTGGGGTCGAGTGATGCGGACGGAGGCGGTGGGCGGCCAGTCAAGGCGCGAGGCCGGGGAGGGCAGATGACCCGGGGCGAGCATCTGCACGGCACCTGCAGCCAACTTGCATATATAGACCGCAGTAGCGCAGTCAGGGCACTTTTGGAATCACTGGCTGCAGGCCAAACATCACGCTTCCCCGACACACATTGTTCAGCGCCTACTCCTGCAGCACAATGCTTGAGGAACCGTGGTCTTTTTCCTGCCCGGAATGGACGCGTCAAATAACTCCTTGTGCCAAGGGATGCCGCTGTGGAATCAGACGGGGACCGCACACATTCTTCACGCGTTCCAAACCCAGAATCGTTGTCTAGCTAAATCATCCAAACATGGCGGAGTTCAGCAAACAATCCGGCTTCCGGGCCGACCGTCTAGATAATCAGGACTTTTGGTCGAGTCCGTAACGCTGTACAACTTCTGGACCATGCAGGTGATTACTGCTGCTGCCGAGGCTAGTTGATGACTAGGTGTTTCACGGGCAGACCATGACCCAAGGTTAGCGGCCGATCAGTCGGGATGGGTTAATTAAGGAAGAAGACTGTCTCCTCTGCGAAAAGCTTGGTGCACTGATTCCTTACCCACCGTGTAGGATATTTTTATCTCGATCGAGGGGAACAGAGACGGGAAGACTGAGACATATCGGACCGTGGACTTGGCTATCTATCTACTTTGTAGTATCATGTAGTCTACTCTACTACGTAGTATAGTTATGAGAAGGAGATTCAAATTGTAGAGCACCAGTTAACCCTTAACCCATTCTTTATTGGGGGGAGAGAAGTGGTTAGTTCAATTTCTAGATTTTGCCCCTGGATGATCCCCCCTCAGCTCTCTCACTTTCTCGCCTCTCTTTCCCTCGCCCGGGCCCACCCGTCCATGCAGGACCAACCTTTTTTTCTTCCCGCCTGAGTCAAGGTATCTACCAACCTTGAATCCAAGGGACTGGCTGACGACTAATTCTACAGTTAAATCAGCATGTACAAAAGTATAATTCGCCGAGAGTATACGTACGTATGGCTATGCCAATGGAACAATTAGCTTTCTCGCCATGGACTAGATATATCTGATGCAGCAAGTGAAGCTTATCGAGATGAGGATGCCACGGCTGCCCGGGAGCACCGACATTACTGCCCAGACTGGCGTCGGGGAAACAATGGACCACGAGGAATGTCTAGACCTGCTCAATCAGGCAGCCTCCACCAGCACTGCAATTACAGTGGAAAAACTGGTGAGCAGAGCCCGAATTATCGTCCCCATCGAGACATACCGTATGGCGGGTCAAATGCAGCATGGCAGAGGAGGTGTTCCGTCCACAGGGTTCGCCATCCATACCAATGCCTGAGTCTAGTGCGTAGCGACCAGCTCGCTGCCCTGGCGCGCTGTCAAACGGGCGAATTCCAGCAACAAGCCATGCCGGACGATCGGCTCTGCAGCCATGGCCGAGCGATTGAAATTCCCAGTTGTCTTCGATCTGGGCCACGGCGAATATGTTGATCAAAACCCTGCCAGGTATATTAGCCTACCGGGTCCGCTGATCGACTGGAGATTTTGATCTTTTCCTTTGGCTTGTTTCCTCCTCTTCCTGCCACCTCCGCCTCTCCTTTTCCGACTCCTTGGGCTTGTGCTTTTCGGATCGGATCAGATTTCGTTCGTTTTCCTTGTCGGCCTACGCAGCATTGGGAGGTAGCCTATCCCTCGTTCAGTCACTAGTTTACGGTTTAGTAGAGAGTCGTGGGACTCTCTGCCATTCGCTCTCTTCGGTCGTTCCTTGAATATCCGGCAGCCTAGACTATCTGGCCCACCAGCGTTGGGGAGTAGGACTAGTATAATAGTGCGTGTGTGTGTGAGTGTATACAACTACACACGCGAGCTTCGGTAGGTAATTAGTCCATTGCAGACTCTCCCTCCCGCACTTTCTCCCCACCATTATCACCATCTTCACCACACACAAGCTCTCTGCATGGCCCACCATGCATGACTCCAGCCAGTTCGGTAGAGTGCAATACTCCCGCTACGAGGAATATCATGTCGATAGCAAGCGACCGCTAGAAAGATTGCCACCAATGAATCCCAACTAACCCCCGTCTAGTGCTTTATCGACTCGTTTCATCCCCTGACCCAGGCGTTTCAAGCAGCGGTCGGCAGACGAGGACTATCGCAGCTAATTGGTGTGAGTGGAGCGATCGGAGCGCGTGATTGGACCTTCAGCAGCTTTTCTTGCAGACGGACCTCCACCATCTGGCGATAGTCAAGCAGTAATTTCCAGCGACGGACAAGGCATCGCAGTCCAGCCAGAACCAATCGTCGGGTCAGGAACGGGGCAAGTTTGTGTGCCTGGATCCATTGGTCCCTCCCGCGGGTGCCAGCAAATCTTCCACTGTTCCCTCCCCCTCCACTTTATCCCGGGTGTAATAACCTTCATTTACATCAGCCGTTCCCTTCACATCCTAGCTTTGTCGTTTCTTTTTTAATTCTCTTCCCCCGTCCTTTCTTTCCCTCAGTTGTGTCTGTTCTTTGTCGTGGGAGAAAAAGGCAGTTTCCGAGTGTTACTGTCTTGCTGTGTGTGTTGTGTTTTTGTGTGTTTGATTACATTCATTCCTTTTCTACTACTTCTTCTCCCCTGGCGGCTGATTCGCGCCCCCATACATTCCTTGCACTTCCCTACTTACTACTCCAACTACAACATCCTATCCAGTCCACCGTCTGACCCCGTCGTGTGACAGACCACTTTTGTTGGTGCTCACACGATCTTGTCTGGATATTTCTTCAGTACTGGTTGCTGAAGTGTTGGTCGCTCGTCAGCGTTCCTCCTTACTATATTACTGTCCCTTCTCGCTCTTCAGTTCTCTGCCGGTTCAGTGAACCACGCTGTCTTGACGATGGCGTCTCTCCACACTTCCATCATGTTGTTTGTGTCGTACGTGTGTCTGCTACTGAGTGTGCCAGTGGCCTTGGTCAATGCTGTTCCTACGTCTGGGTCTGTCGACGTGACATCGCATCTGGCGGTGCGCGCGTCCGACTACTGGGTTGGAACCATCAAGCGTCAGGGCACTGTGCCCTTTGGCAACACCACGAGCAGCTATGCAATCTACCGCAACGTCAAGGACTATGGTGCCAAGGGTGAGTCAGACCTCCTTACATGGCTGGTATTTGATGCTGACTACGGCAGGTGACGGTTCCACCGATGATACTGATGCTATCAACAAGGCCATCTCCTCTGGTGGCCGCTGCGGTTCCGGTTGTGACTCGTCTACCACCACCCCGGCCCTGGTGTACTTCCCCGCCGGTACCTACGTGGTGTCCAAGCCCATTGTGCAGTACTACTACACCCAGATGGTTGGCGATGCCAACGACCTGCCCGTCCTCAAAGCTGCCTCGAGCTTCAGCGGTATGGCCGTCATTGATGCCGACCCCTACGACAGCAATGGCGACAACTGGTACACTAACCAGAACAACTTCTTCCGTGCTGTTCGCAACTTCGTCATTGATCTGACCGCCATGCCCGCATCCTCGGGTGCTGGTATCCACTGGCAGGTCGGCCAGGCCACCAGTCTGCAGAACATCCGCTTCGAGATGGTCAAGGGTGGCAGCAACAACAAGCAGCAGGGTATCTTCATGGACAACGGATCCGGTGGCTTCATGTCCGACCTGACCTTCAACGGCGGTAACTACGGTGCCTTCTTCGGTAACCAGCAGTTTACCACCCGCAACCTGACCTTCAATGACTGCAACACCGCCATCTACATGAACTGGAACTGGGCCTGGACCTTCAAGTCGGTGTCTATCAACAACTGCCAGGTCGGCCTGAACATGTCCGCCTCTCCATCCAACCAGACCGTTGGGTCCGTCCTGATGCTGGACAGCACGTTCACCAGCACCCCTACTGGTGTCGTGACTGCCTTCAGCAGCGACAGCATTCCCACCGGTGGCGGTGCCCTGGTCCTCGAAAATGTCGACTTCTCCGGCTCAACAGTTGCCATTGCAAGTGTGAACGGCGACACCATCCTTAAGGGTGGGTCAGTTATCTCGAACTACGTGCAGGGCAATGTCTACACCCCTGGCAGCAGCAGCAACAGCAACAACAACAACAGCACCGTTAGCAAGCGCTCCCCTGCCGTTCAGGCCGAGGATGTTCAGGTGATTACCCAGACTATCACAGAGACCATCACAGCCTGCGGTGCCGACTACGCCACTGAAACTGCTGCGGGTTCGTTCGGAACTGACGTCGGAGCGGAGGGTTCGACTACGACCGCCGCTGGTGGTGTGGTGCCTCTGTCGTCAATGTCTGTGCAGTACCCCGCCGCTGGTAGCTACAGCTGGGAAGGTTTTGACAGCGAGACCGCTCAAGCCACCACGGCCACTAACGAGGCTTCTGTCCCTGCTGCCGGAACTTCTGCTGGCTCGACTCCTGCTGAGCCTACTTCCCAGTCGGCCGGTGCCTCTGTCATCGCCCAGGGCTCCGGCTCCGCCTCGGCTGCTACCAGCACCTCGTCTTCCGGGTCCTATTTCGGTACTTCCAGCAACTCCACCGGCCAATGCTCAACCAAGACGGTCACCAAGACCCGTATCGAGACCACCATTCCCTCCCAGGCTATGGCCAGCTCTCTTCTTACCAGCTCTGGCAGTGTCTTCGAGAAGTCGAAGCCTTTGTACGAGTCGTACGCCGCTTCGTCCTTCGTCAGCGTCAAGTCGGCCGGTGCCAAGGGTGACGGTACCACCGATGACACGGCTATCATCCAGAGCGTCCTGAACAACGCCACCGAAGACCAGATCGTGTACTTCGACCACGGTGCCTACATCATCACCGATACCATTAAGGTCCCCAAGAACATCAAGATCACTGGTGAGGTGTGGCCCATGCTCATGGCGTATGGCGACAAATTCGCCGACCAGAAGAACCCCATCCCCATGCTTCAGGTTGGTGAGGCCGGTGAGTCTGGCTCCGTGGAGATCAGTGACCTCGTCCTGGAGACCAAGGGCCCCGCTCCTGGTGCCATCCTGGTGCAGTGGAACCTCCAAGCCGCTTCCCAAGGCTCTGTTGGTATGTGGGATGTCCATGCCCGCATCGGTGGTTCTGCCGGCACTGAGCTTCAGTCCGACACCTGCGCGAAGACCCCCAGCCAGACCACCACACCCAACGAGAAGTGCATTGGCGCCTTCCTCCTCTTCCACGCCACTCAGAATGCCAGCGTCTACCTGGAGAACACCTGGTTCTGGACTGCAGACCACGACCTTGACGCTTCCGGCCACGGACAGGTCAACATCTACAACGGTCGCGGCATCCTCCTCGAGAGTCAGGGTCCAGCTTGGCTGTATGGCACGGCTGCCGAACACAACCAGCTGTACAACTACCAGGTCTCCAATGCCAAGAACGTCTTCATGGGCTTGATCCAGACCGAGACCCCTTACTACCAGGCGAACCCCAACGCTCTGACTCCCTTCACCCCGCAGACCTCCTGGTCCGACCCCGACTTCTCGTACTGCACGACCGACTCCTGCCGCAAGGCCTGGGGTCTGCGTATCATCAACAGCTCCGAGACCTACATCTACGGTGCCGGTCTCTACAGCTTCTTCGACAACTACTCGCAGACATGTCTGGCCACGGAGTCCTGCCAGGAGAACATTGTTGAGGTGGACTGCTCCGACGTGCACATCTACGGACTGAGCACCAAGGCCAGCACCAACATGATCACCTCGTCCAGTGGCGATGGCCTTGTCCCGCAAGAGGGTAACGAGAGCACATACTGCTCGACGATCGCCTTGTTCGAGCAGTCGTCATCTATTTAATTTGTGCTTTTACATCCGAGACAATACATACATACAGTGATAAAGCAGTTATTTGTTTCCTCGATGCCCTTGGAGGGAAGAGATCTTAGATGCATTTGGGAGGGTTGAATGATTGTTGGGGAACACATACGGATATACCACTTTGTTGTTACATTTTATATTTTTGCCTACATCCATTCATTTTATCCTTCTATTCTTATCCCATTCGTTACATTATTTGTTCTATAGTGGCTTGATAATGGGGTGGTAGGGGTGGTAGCAGTAGAGGTGATTTGCACCAGGCTATACAGTAGTTGAAATAAAAGTCAATGATCAGATTGTTTCTATCATACTATGACGAAGTTAATCGCGATTCTTCGCTTTAAATGGTTTGCAATGACATGGACAGACTCCATACTTCTATGGTCGTCACCACTGTCCCTCCATCATTGACCACTAAACCTTTAGTAAATAAATGACAATAGTTAACATAATCCATCCACAAAGACCCTTCCATGTCTCCCCAGCCTCCTCTGACTATCCCACCCACTCTTTTTTTTTTTTTTTTTAGAAGTGATTCTTATCCGTTTTTCAACAAATTTCTCCTCAATCTTTAACTTACTATCAATCACTCCAGTATTTCCTCCTAACCTGCATTCAAAAGCCACGACAATAACAACCCACACAACCGACTACTTGGCTACTTATCCATGAGAAAGAACAAAAGAGACAAAGATACAAAGATACAAACAATCAATGTGGATCCAAGCAGGCAATTATTGTTCTATTCCCCGTTCTAATTCATTTCTTCTTTCAGTCATTCTGCGTTTATTTTATTCATTGTATTCATTTATTACCCTATTGTTGTATTATATGGTACAATATCCATTGTGGATGGATAGATACGGTTTATTTTCAATGATTAGCTTGGCTAGACCCACTAGGGAGTAACTGTGAATGAATATATGTGAAGTAAGGTTATTTTCTTAATCAAATAACCATATGAATAGGTAGGTCTATTGAGAAGATTATTGATTGTTTTAGTTGATTGTTTGGATGAATAGGGATCTTCCTGCACTCAGTCTGGATGGTTGGGCTGGATGAGTAGGGTCATAGTCAGTTAGTCGGACTACTTGGTTGGTTTACTGTTCTGTAATGAGTGATCGGTTTTGTTTAGACTTCTTTTGGCTCTTTATGAATGGTTCATTAATTGGTTATTCTTTAGCTAGTAACTATTGTGATTTGGTCTATTAATCTAGTA